ACTCTTTCATCAAGTATAAAAACGCCATCAATCAATTATTTAAAATAATGTTAATTAATTTTCTGTAAAATATTATTCATTATTATTGACATTGTTCATCATTCATTCCGTCATTCTTATTTGACATTCTTTCTACTTGGCCATTCTTTTTGAATATTCATTCTTCTTTCACATTTCTTGTTCTTTGCATTCTTTCTACATTGTTTTAGCGAATAGTTATGCATTGTATTTCACCTGCTTCAGTTTCTCATGGTGTTCGCATCAAGTTTCAATAACAAAAACTTTTAAATATTTGCATTTGAGATTCCACAAATTGCTGAAAGCATATTTGAGGCTAAACTTGATTTATTTATTATTATTTATTTATTTATTTACTTCTCTTGCTGATTTTATAAAGCGTCGAATGCTTATCGCAATTTTGGTTTGTTGATTTTATGGCCGACTTCATTTGTTGCTTTACTCAATGTACAATAATATTGATAAACTAAATAAAGTTTCTTTTATAAGCAAATTCCCCAACTGATACATATGTGTTCTGCTCTCTCTCTCTCTCTCTATCTGTCTCTCTCTCTGCCTGCCTTTATCTGTCTGTCTCTTATTGCAAGTGGAGCATTCGGAAGTGGCAATTGTTATGCGATACGCTCCAATGCGCAACATGCCATGTGGTATGGGCCAGCAGGGGGAGGAGCTGGCGAAGGGAGGGGCAGGAACTTTAGCAGCTTTGCATGTTGCGTTGATTTTTCTGCGACACATGTGTGCAACAGCAGCAGCAGCTGTGGCAGCGACGCAAGCAGCGACACCAGCAGCGCTGCCAGCGTTAGTTTAGGCATGCGTGTCCGCTGTCTGCCCCAGCCACGCCCTTATTCCATTCTACCTCCACGCCCGCCTGGTCTCCCCTGCCTAGTTTTATTTATAAAACAAATTGCATTGAAATAAAAAATAAAAAGCAGAATGCAAAGGTTCTGCTTAGCTTTGCCAATTTTCAATTATCATTGCAAATTTTGCAATTTTTGTGACCATTTTATGTTAAAAATGAAGGAAAAAGAAAAACGAGAAGAAAGAAAGATTTTAGTAAATTCATAATGATATAAGAATGTGAAACGAACTGCTGATGACCTATAAATTGATCAGTTTATTAGCTCTATCATTTTCTTGATACTGATATTGAATAGTTATATATATATATATACTACTACTACTATAGAGAGAGATGAAGAGAGAGAGAGTAGGAGAAAGAGAGAGAGAGAGAGAGATAGATAGAGAGAAAGAGCTATAAATACTTCATACAGTAGAACTACTACTATTTCTACTACTATTATAATTTATACAATGGATATTTTTCCAACTACGATGCTTACCATTACTACTACTACTTTTACTACTACTACTACTACTACTACTTTGGTGAAAATACTAAAATTTTACTACTACTACTATGACTATTTCTACTACTAATTTAACAAACTCGTTACTTCTATTATTACTACTAAGCTATTAAATAGTAGTAACATTCTACTACCATTACAATTAATGTTTCTACTATTTTAATTGAATTTATTTATATTTTTGCTATTACACTTTCTCCATTAAAATTACTATAAATATTAACTATTTCTATTACTATCCCAACAGCTTTTTCTGCTACTATTTTACTAAAATGTACTACTATTAAAGCTCATATATCAGTTTTATATACTATATTGTCCTATAGCTGACATTCAAG